ATGATCGTTGGGGAACTTGTCACTGTTTGTTGCGTCTGTGAAAAACTGGGAACTTCATCAACTTGATATTCATAGTGCTTTTCTCTTTGGAGGTTTATATAAAGTGAATATGAGGACTCCTCAAGGTTTCTCTCGAGATAATGAAAGTCGCTTTTGTCATCTTCAAAAATCACTTTACATAAACCTGTAATAGTAGTAGCAGCATGGTGTCTGAACATCTCAGTTCTTAATCGATGTATAATATTTAAATTTAATAAGAGTGTTGTACGATACATGAACATGGACTAAATACAATTAATTATAGTATGAAAAAAAAAGCAACGATTATTATAAATATTTATATATGAATGAAATGACTCGTTTCAGAAATGAAGAAGAAACATGCATGCATCTTTGTGATTACAACGACCTTGTATAAGCAATTAAGGGAAATGTTTCTTTGGAGTATCAGGAAATAATAAGGACCTGATAGTGTGAACCAGAAACCCGACACAAAATAATTCATTATTCCCAATCACTTAGCCAAATCGTCAACCAAGGATATATGACTTATATATAGGGACAGAAAGGGTCCCTGTCTATGTCTCTGAGTCTGTGCACAAACATGGCCAGTTCTGGAGAAATTAAGATATCAAGATTAGTGTGTCCAAACAGGTTTTGTGCTCATCAAGATTGCCATTATTAAGTTATTATTTCCTTTTTGTTCCTGAGTATATATCCATGACTGGTAATCTTGCTTTGTTTCGTCATTAATTTTTGAACTGTAAATTTTTTTCGAATGGTATAAGATGATTATAAGGTGACGAGTAAGGATCGGAAGTCCATGCCGTGAAAAAACTTAGTGGAAGCATCTGATGCATAAAGTGGAGGAAGTTTTGACGAGTGCCTAACTTATAATTAATTAAAAGGTGAACTACATAAATCACATCATTATCTTTCTTTACCCTCATTCTTTAATCGTTAAACTTAAAAAAAATCAATTTTGTTTGTCACTTAAATTTTAAATCATTCTTTTGTAATCATTTTATTGTTAAATAATTAATGTTGTTATGACATGGTAAACAACATCAAAATAATGTTGTTTTGAAACAATCAGCTTTCCAGTAAAATAATATCATTTTGGATTCTTATACAAATTCTCTTTCCTTCATTTTTGATCATTTCTTTTCTCTCAATATTTTCATATAATTATCACTCATCGTGAACAGGCATAATGTCGGTGGTCACTGATAACGGTTAATGACTATGATGAGTCCTAAAATTTTCCACCAAACTTATTTATCATTTTAAACATGACTACGGTGTCAATTTAATAAAAAATATCTCAAATTCCATAAATCTAGCATTGAACGCTTCAATTCTTAGTTCTTTACTCTTTATCGTCTACCCTTGAATAACGTTGAAATTTAGATATATTGTTAACCGTCCAATAAGGGTCTTTCTACAGTTGAAATATTCAAATGGAAGTTCTGATCACCGAAGATCTATTAAAGTAAAAAATTGAGTTTTTTTTCTTCTTTTTTTTTTCATTTATTCCGTGTATAATGAAAGATGGTGTTGAGTCAAAACAGAAGGAGCATGTGACAAGGCTGAAGGCTAAAGAGATTTTTGGGGTCGTGGATGGTGGTGATTTTGGGGAGATATGTATAATTTTGAAAATCACAAAGTTTAAAGGAATTAGAGTCATATTTAATGAAAGATAGTGTTAAGTTGAGTCAAAACAGAAGGAGCATGTGACAAGGCTGAAGGCTAAAGTGATTTTTAATTAGGGTCATGGATGGTGGTGATCTTAGAGAGATATGTATAATTTTAAAAATCACACAGTTTAAGGGAATTAAAGTCAGCTTAGGCAGTTTTTAAACCCAAGTAAAAGATATTTTTATATATCTAAAAACCAGTAGAAGTTTCGAGGGTGGTGGTTTTGGGGTCTAGATGAAACACTGATCGAACTCAGATTTAGAAAATTGTAATAAGATATAAAATTTTTAGGGTATAACAATCGAGAATGATAGGCGGTATCGATTTTGGTCAGCAAACGATGATTGAAATATGAGTTGACACATGGGTAAAAAATTAATGAAAAAAAAAGAAGCCAACATAGTTTGAGAGATAACAAATGAGTTATCAAAAAAATAAATATCTAATTTTGAGTGATAAAATTGAAAAACAAAATAAAGTTTAGTGACCAAAACAAGAATAAAAAAGGAGTTGAACGAAAAATTATACAATTTACCCTTAATTAAAGGCTATATATTATTCTAATGATTTATCAAAGAGAAAATAACTTCAGTGACCAAAAATCCGAGATAATATATAATTTTGACCAACTTTTTTGGATTTGCGAAAATGACCAACAAAATCGCAATGCGATCTCTAATTCGCATTGCGATCTCCACTATCGCAAATTCGCGTTGCATTTCGCATTGCGATAGTTGAAAATCGCGTTGCGATCTTCCCACGACCACGACCCGACCCGAGACGAGACGAGACGGCGGCGGCGCGCGAGAGTCCCCCTTGTTCTCTATCACTCAACAAGGAAGTGGGAAAGCCAAGCCTTAAATACCATTCCCAATAGTGTTTCCAATACTATGTGGGATTTGAGCATTACCAACACTTGTTCCCAATACTATGTGGGATTGAGCCTTAAATAGTGATATTATTTTTGAATGTTTTGCTTAAAATTGCAATAATCGCGATTGATTGTAGATTGACTTTTAATTATGACATATTTAATCGTATAATACTAATGCAATTGGTTGCTGATTCAGTTTTTTTAAGGTGCATGATTGTTAATTGTTTCCTGAATAATCACATTGTATTGGAAACAAGTGTTGGTAATGCTCAATCCCACATAGTATTGGAAACACAATTGAGAATGGTATTTAAGGCTTGGCTTTCCCACTTCCTTGTTGAGTGATAGAGAACAAGGGGGACTCTCGCGCGCCGCCGCCGTCGTCCGTCTCGTCTCGTCTCGGGTCGGGTCGGGTCGGGTCGGGTCGGGTCGGGTCGGTCGTGGTCGTGGTAATACGTGTCTTCGACACGTCCGCACGAATACTATCTTTTTAGAGAAAATTCTTAAAAAACAAAATCTTTTTAAGAATTTGGAAAAACGCAACGACAACTGTAGACTATCGCAACGAATTTGGAAAATCGCAACGACAACTGTAGACTATCGCAACGCGATTTTCAACTATCGCAACGCGATTTTCAACGCGAATTTGCGATAGTGGAGATCGCATTGCGATTTTGTTGGTCATTTTCGCAAATCCAAAAAAAGTTGATCAAAATCGTATATTATCTGTGATTTTTGGTCACTGAGGTTATTTTCTCTTTATCAAAAGATAATTAAACCATACATTGGAGCGATGAAATACGGCCACGTAGGGAGGAACCAGCGGTGCGATTATCTTGTCGACAGAAGATGTTAATGACAGCGGTGGTTTCAAAGCAAGGAAAAATTTTAGGGTTTTTAATTTAAGTGTTAATATTTGGTTTAATTATTATTAAAAATAAAATTATGAAAAATAATGTAATTAATATTTTACTTTAAATAACTTACGTTTAGATCTTTAACAAATTTATAATTATACGTTGAATATTTTATAATTTTAGATATTTATAAATTAAATTAATTATATTATAGATATTTATAAATTAAATTAATTATACTCATCGTTAATGGTGTTCATCAATATTCGTCGAACATTGTAGAAATTCTATATTTATCGAAAGATGATAAACCATATATATAGATATGTTTAAATCTATGTCTTCTTATATATTATAATAATATTAACATGATTAAAAGTTAAAACTAAATCAATATTAACTTGGTTAAAGTGCAAAAATGGTCCCCTAATTATAGGGGTATTGCTTTATTAAATCTATCAACTATTAAAAGTTACAAAATGATCCGCCAACTATAGAGTGTTGCTTTGTCGAGTCCCTCGACTATTAAAAGTTACAAAATGATTATCTGACTATTCATTGTGCTTCAAACTCGTCATTTTCTGTAAAAAAAAATTGATGGTATTTTGAGCTGAACCTTAACTTGCTAACTGTGATATGATAAAATTTGATCATAGAATTTCAAATGACTATTATATCTCATTCATCATGTTAACGTCCAACTTAGGCAACTGTCAATTTTTAACGAAAAATGACGAGTTTGAAACATAATGAATAGTTACATGACTATTTTATAACTTTTGATAGTCAATAGGCTTAATAAAGTAATATTCTATGGTGAAAGAATCATTTTGTAACTTTTAATAGTCAATGAACTTTACAAAGTAATATCTTATAATCTAGAGATTATTAATGTACTTTATCCTATTAATTAAACGTATTTGATTAGTTAAACAAACGAGTTATGCTAAACCTTCCAAATAAGTTCATAAATGTTAATAGAGGATTTGCTTCCGATGTGGGACAGGGACGGGAACAGTCCAATTTTATGTTCACCCTCGATTGCATTGTAACAAAACAAGCATGGGATAAGTTGGAATTCACATGGGGAAGCCACAACCATGCTTATTTTGGTCGCTGCAAATTGGACACAGAGAGTGATTGACAATACACAAATACATACGCACACTATTATCCAAAACTAGTTTGGACCCTTGGATCTTTCTCATATCCCATGGAAATAAGCGATTCAGCATCCATTCATAAACGGAAGAACCAGCAGGAAAGAGGCACACGTGGGGCTCACTTTAGAAGGGGACGACGTTTTTTCCTTGCACGTTTCTCTAAGAAACCACCCCTCGACATAAAGCAAGCATTGGGGTTGGTTTAGTTTTCTGGTCAATATCAGGGAATACGAATTTAAAGAGTTATATTAAGAGTTAATTAAATGATTTTAATGATGAAGATATAATTATATCGTTAATAATTTCAATTTTGTTAGGAGTTTGTTTGAACTTTGCCAATTGCTCTTTATTCTCTCGATATAAAGGAAACTCTCTTGTCCCTATAAGCCCATAAAACCAACACAAGTCCTTCGTTTCCTTTTGGTTTCTTCTCTCTCTCTCTCTCTCTCTCTCTGTTTGATGTCAACCAGTAAGCTATCTTAAATTTCCTAGTGTTTTTTCGAGTATGGGAAGTCAAAATTTTGTTGTAAATGGAGGGATCAAAATGCCAATCGGCTTCAGATTCCATCCCACAGATGAAGAGCTTGTGGTTCATTACTTGAAGAGAAAAGCATTATGTCTCCCTTTACCAGCTTCTGTCATTCCTGAGTTCGATGTTCTCCAGACTGATCCTTGGAGATTGCCAGGTTTTTTTGCTATCCAAATTCTCAAAGTTACAAAAACTTTCAGTCCTTGTTTGAGAATTGAAACCCTTTGATCCATTTTTTCTGTTTATTTTCAGGCGATTGGAAAGAAAATAAGTACTTTTTTAGCACCAGAAAAGATAATGACGGTACCAAAAGATGCAAGAGAGTAGCTGGTTCTGGTTACTGGAAGCCTATAGGCAAGGAGAAGCCAATTTTAGCTTCTGGAACAACCAATGTAGTAGTTGGGATGAGAAAAGCTTTGATCTTCTGTGAAAGCAAGTGTTCTAATGGGACCGAGAATCGATGGCTGATTCACCAGTATCGGCTGGTTGACTCAGTTGCAACTCTTGATTCATCTCAGGTGATTCAACAACAAATAAAAGTACCAGTAACCAGAAACAGAATCGATTAAAATCATTATCTTAACAATGGGTTTTGCCCATATTTGCAGATTTCCATTGGAGATTGGTTAGTCTTCCGAGTGTTTCAGGGGAAGAGAAACAGAAGAGCTAAAAAACAAGGTCTCATTTCTAAAAAGACAACTAGTGCAGTTAACATGTCATGTTGTATCGATTTTACTGTGGAAGACAGCTTAGTGTTTGGTCCTCCTCAACCTACTTCACCAAGTTCAACCGAGGAAGGAAACAATTATTGCTTCAGTATCTAAGCTTTTGCAAGTGAAAAAATGATCAAAAGTAGATAAATACTATGAAACAAATGCATATGAAATGGAAAGCATCCGAGTAAAGAAGGGTTGTGCAGCATCTAATCATAGCATCGTGTATATCAATGGTGATTGGAGGCACATGGGGTGAGGGGTGGGGGGCTGATATTCTGCCCTACATGGCTACAGCTGAAGAATTCAATGCTCTTGTAAACTAGGCTTCCATTGATCGAATCTGTGCTACTTTTTTTAGGCTTTTTTAATTATTCTCAGTGTTTCTGAGGCTTTTCAGGCCACACTTGGAAAGTTGAAGAGATTCTCTCACCATCTTTTAATTCCATGCCATTTTGTATGGAATTTTGTGTTACGCTAAGAAATGGTTCTGTTGTATTATTGTGTTTGTAATTTTAGTTATTTTACCTGCCTCTACTCAGTTTTCCTATCAATTTATCCAAATGAAAATATACTTGAAAAAAGGGAGAAAATTAAAGAACGCAATTTGAGCCATTATAAACATCAGGAAATTGGATTAGTTAATGTTGATGAAAATATTGGTTAAGAGAGATGTGGTCGATCGATTTATACGAAGAAGATGAAGAGCAGGTAATCTGAAGACGATGATGAACCATTAAGATCAAATAAGAATAAGTTTGTGACATAAAAGATAACGTATGTTTTACCTAGTCATATAAGACGATTTATATATTAATTTTTAATGTTAATGCAATTTTAGAGTAATGATTATTATCTATAACTTACTAGAGTCAATAAATATTACTTTTACATAATACATTTAACTATGACAAATAATATAAATCTAATAATAGTTTTATCAAATTTGACAAAAAAATTATAAAATTTCATAAATTTTAATCTGACTAAAGAATACTTAGAATAAACAACAACAAAAAAACTTCTCTGAAGACTTCTATGAATAGAGAATGGAAGTTTTATTGTACGGCAGTCTTAATATACGACTAAAAAAAAGTGTTATCGGTTTTGTTATTATTATTTTTTAACAAAATCAATAAAAAATTACCTAAAATATTATTATTTCTACATAAAATATTAATTTTTTTAACATTTATGGTAAAGTGCTCAATAATAACAAAATCAATAGAAATAATAATGTGTCTGGTAATACTTTACCGATTTTATTAAAAATAATAATAAATCCGATAACATTTTTTCTTAACCGTATATTAAAATTGTCGCACGTGAAACTTTCCCATAGAGGAGTGATAACAAAAATACGATTTACACAATACGACAGAGTTGAAAATATGATGAGAGGGAGTTGTGTCGTCAAAGATGATGAGAAGCGGAGAGGCATCATCTTGGGTAGAACCAATGGTCAATGACTACTCCCATCGCAATGTCTGCCGCACATGTAATGTACAAACAGAGGGCAGCACCGAGACCATGATGCTTCCCAAATCCATTCATGCATTGAATTGACTATATTTATTTAGCATCAAATACATAATATCTCATCTAATTATAATTTAATCATTCACTGAAATGATATTATAAACATGTCACCCCATCCTTAAATATTAGATGAAATATAATAGAGGAGTGATCTGTTGGGAAAATAGACCCCTTGTAATCCAACAATCCCTTTATATCACAACATTAACAAAAATACTTGAAAAATAAAAGAGAGAAAAACACAATAATTTAACGTAGAAAACTCCTAAATGGAGAAAAACCACAGGCGCTGTCAAAAGACAACCAAGAGAAAAAAAATATTTACTATGTGGAAAATTATTACAACCACACTACAAAATATTTAACTCTCACACATACCTAAAAGCTAAAGTACACCCCAAGAGAATTTCCCTTTAATTATCTACTAGTATAGCTAATAGCTTTCTAGTACACCACTTGTATTTTGGTGATTGACATACATTTAACCAAAAGGAAATATTCTATTTATAGGCTAAGAATTTTTCCATCCTTTGTTAATTTCCAATGTGGGATTTGGCCAATTTTTGCCAAAAACTAACAAATCTCCACCTTGGCAAAAATTTCATACAATTCTTCACCATAAAAACAACAGCTACCTCAATAACACCATCAACTATGATAGTCACAATTCTAAAAACAAGAATTGTCATACTCCACCATAAGAGTATACACACTTGGAATTCACTAACTCCAAGAATTTTTACCTTGCCCAGTTCATGTCGAAAAACTGCTAATAAGTTATGGTGCAACTTCCAATGTTGACTTTCTAGGAAGTTCATTAGCCATCGACATCAATTCCACCACACACTTTGCATCAACTGTCAACCAATGCCCATGTGTAAATGTGGACATGCTACATTTTCATACATCCTTTTCCATGACAACTCAATTGGTAGCTATCATGCCATGAGGATATATATCTTTCTTTACAAAGCAAATTCATCGTCTTCATTTTCAAAGACGACTACATTAGTAGCATCACTTTTGGAGCCATTAGCCGAATTAGCTCCACCGTTTTTGCAATCCTTCTTTAGATGTCCAGGTTGCCCACATCCCCAGCAGATAATTTTCCTTTTGGAACCTTTATACTTCTTCCTATTTCCACAAACTGACAATGCTCCACTTTCAGAAGATTTGTTCTCTCCATTTTTCAGCATTCTTTCTTCCGAAATCAGCTTACCTATCACTTCTGAAAAATTCACATTCTCTTTCCCGTACATTAAAACGGTTTGCATGTGCTCATAGGAAGATGGAAGAGACCAAATAAGTCTCAATGCTTTATCTTCATCATCAATCTCCACTCCAATAGATTCCAGTTCAGAAACAATCCCATTGAGTGCACTAAGATGGTCAGAAATTTTTGTACCTTCTTCCATTTGTAATTTGTGAAATTTCTCCTTCAAATATAACCTATTTGAAAGACTTTTAGTTTGGTACATTTCCTCAAGCTTTTCCCAAAGCTCCTTTGTTGATGACCATCTAGCAATATTAGCAAGAACATTTTTGGCTAGACAGAGACGAATCTGACTTGCTGCACTCATGTCTAACTCCTCCCATTCTTCTTCACTCATCTTGGATTTTCCCTTGTCTCCACTGATGTCACTAGGTTTATCTGGTTCCTTTCCTTCGGACAAAGAAGCTGGCTTTCCCTTTAAGGACTTATACAATCCAGACTGGATTAGTATATCCTTGACTTGTACTTGCCATAACCCAAAATTAATTCTCCCATCAAATTTCTCAATATCAAATCTGAAACTCATTTTTGCTCAACAATGCTACAGTGATATCATACGTGAATAATGAGTGAACAATTGTGTCTACAAAATGCACTAAAAAAGTTTCTAGGAAAGATTGGGGGGACACAAATGTACCGTTTAAGTCCCAACCTCCTTAGGCGATTATAGCCTTTGTGACAAAACTTTCTTGGTTGCACTTACTTACACAATACCACACTCAATAAACACAATAACGTATTTAAAGGACCTCCAGTTAGACCACAACAATTTCTAAAAAATCTTTTCTGATGTAGAAGATCGGACAAAGCCGCAACCACAGAGCATACTAAGAATTTTAAAGAAATTCCTACACCGCCTTAAAGTTTATCTTTTACCAAACCATTGACTCCGATACCAATTATTGGGAAAATAGACCCCTTGTAATCCAACAATCCCTTTAGATCAGAACATTAACAAAAATACTTGAAAAATAAAAGAGAGAAAAACACAATAATTTAACGTAGAAAACTCCCAAATGGAGAAAAACCACAGGCGTTGTCAAAAGACAACCAAGAGAAAAAAATATTTACCATGTGGAAAATTATTACAACCACACTACAAAATATTTAACTTTCACACATGCCCAAAAGCTAAAGTACACCCCAAGAGAATTTCCCTTTAAATTCTCTACTAGTATTGCTAATAGCTTTCTAGTACACCACTTGTATTTTGGTGATTGACATACATTTAACCAAAGGGAAATGTTTTATTTATAGGCTAAGAATTTTTCCATCATTTGTTAATTTTCAATGTGGGATTTGGCCAATTTTTGCCAAAAACTAACATGATCGGATATAATAATAGTTTTAATCCTGAAAATTTATATATTCGATTAATTTAATTATAATTTAATAAATTTGTTTTTTTGTATTTAAAAATTATATCTATTTAATCAGTCTTCTTCTAAATTATCTATAAAAGCGTATTTAATAAAAATATATTTACATATTATTTAATTTTATAACAATATCTATATTTCTTTTATTTAAATGAATTAGAACCTCACAAAAAATAAATAATATTTACAAAATATTTAATAATATAAATAATTAATAACAAATAAATTTATTAAATCATATATACACATGAAATATAATAATAAGAAATAAAATTTACACTGAAAAAGACAATGAAGTAACTCAGAACACAAACGAAATAAACATTTGTCGTAATTGTCTTGTTTCCTATTCATATATTTTTCCAATAAAATATCTCAATTTGAAACTGATTATGCAAAACCAATGAAGTAACTCAGGATTTGTCATTCATACTTTAGTTTGTCTCTACATAATTAAGTTGAAGATTTACTATTATTAATCATTTTAGATTTATGTCATTTTAAGTTGGGGTCCATTTAAATTCATTTTAATTTTAGTTTCATAAAAAATAGGAATATAATTGAAAAATAATAATATATAGAGGGTTATTATCTTAATTATCCCTAAACGTATAAAGTAAATTTACATTATTTTACGGATATAGTATTTTTCATCTTAAACCCAATCCGACTTGAATATATTTTTTAAAAAAACATATTTGATCCGACCCAAATCTAATTTTTTTTTAAAATTCGACCTAATCTGATCGGGTTGAAACCTATTAGATTCGGATTTTGTATACATCCCTAATCCAGCCAGCTGTAAAAAACTTAAACTAAAAAACGAAAAAAGAACTTCTCCAAAATGAAATTAGTTATGATTAATTTAGCAGTCCATAACATAACCCGCAAAACTCGTTGGATCTCTCGTTTCAATTTCCTCATTTTTCATGCAAACGCCATTCTTATTTTACCCACATGAAAGGCCTGGAAGTCCTTCCCTCAAGTCACCTGACCTAGAAATCACACCCCTTTGGTTTTCCTTCCCGCAGCCAGGTCTCTCTCCCTCCCTCTTCCTAATGGGCTGTGGCATCTCCAAGCTCCACATCCCCAAAGGAGGAGACCCCTCGCAGCTCTACACTCGATTAACCATCGATCGAGATGCGACCGCAAGAAGAGACGGTGTTGATCACAAGAAGAGAGGAAACGTGGAGAAGGAAGAGGCCTGCGTTGATGAGGAAAGCAGTAGTAGTGAGGAGGAGTTGGAGGATAGAGATGATGGCGTCGATTCATTCATGCAAGCACCCAGTTTCAGGGTGTATTGCGTGTCA